TCTTAGTGTAAGAGCTTAGACTTAAAATTAGACAGGCTTTATTGATCCACAAGGGAAATTACTTGGACACAGTAGCTCACACATCACAATATATATCAATAAAACAGAGTAAAAAAAAAAAGGTAATTAACTTCTAAATATGTAGTAATAAAAAAGAGATTGGTGTTGATAAGACATGAATTATATAAATGTTTTACAGTAAGTAAAAAATTCGAAATATCGCCAATTTTCTACGATTACATTATTACAAAACAATACACTACAACTTCACAAACCTGATGTGATACGCAGTAGTTTTATTAACGGGATGCACGTTAATTGTGTTGTGGTAATGCTCTGACAGAGGAGTGACTTAGCGCAGGGAGCAAGGGGGGCTTAAAACAATAAAAGGTAACATGGTGCTCTAAATATGTTACGATGATGTTTATAATAGAAGTGTAGTAAACTCCCTAAGCTTGAAAACAGTAATGGGTCATTCCACGCCAAATCTCCAAATGCCCCTGCCCAACCATCTCAAATTTGACAAAAAAAATTCTAAGAGTTTCACACACTTTGCAATAGGAAAAATCCCAAATTTTAGCTCTCAACTCCTTATAGTTTTGTCATTAAAAGATATTTTGTCAACTCCCCCCTGACCTGTTTTGAGCAAAGTTTTCCGAGGAGCCACTTTCAGATTGCTGTATTCAAAAAACTATGTAAGGTAGGTTCTTCAAATTTTCTAGGGTTAAAATTTGGCAAATGTGCTTGTAGAATCTAGACTTTTACACATGTGCGTTTGGTTTATCACAGATTTCTGGGGGCTTGAATTTGCTCAAAAATTTTACTCTTTAAATTTGAGGATATCTTTGAAGGACTGTGGAAAGTGTGATTTCAAAGACAGAGGTTTGATATTGAACATACACCTTCCCACACAGGCTGTGTACTTTGTAGAGCCCGACCGATATGGATTTTGTTGTGGCCGATATGAAACCGATATAATGGGAGTTGGAGCTGCCGATAGCCGATATAATCACCGATATATTTAGTGATGTAAAAATTCACTGTAAATCTTGAATTGATTAAAAAACTTAGGTTTGGCTCTAGTGGATTCTAAATTGGGTTTATTTAGGCAACATTTATTGTTATTTTGACTCTTTGCATCATATTTACATACAGTAGATTGGCCTAATGGCATTTTTGCATCACATTCTAGCTGCTAGTGATGGGTATTTCAGTTTTTGTTTTGTTTTTTTGGAGAACCGGCTCTTTTGGCTCGGCTCACTAAAGCAGCTGGCTCTTTCGGCTCCCAAGCGACTCTTGAGATTGTTTTGTTGCAACCAGGACTAAACCAGAACTGAACCAGGACTGAGTGTCGGGGCTCGGTTTCTATCTCTCTCCTGCACTTGAGCCCAAGTTTAGTCCTGGTTTATTCATTTTATGCTGAACTGCAGCCAAATATGCACTTTTTTTTATCCTATGCACACGCAGATTTCTGAAAGTTTCGTTTTCAGCCGCTGCTGCTGTCAAACTACGGGTCTACATGCGGCATGAAGAGAAAAAAGTGAGAAAAAGAGAAAACACGGCTCCCAATAAGAAGCATGCTCCTGTTGTTCGCTCTAAGAGCCGCTTCGATCGCGACCGACCCATAACTCCTAGCTAGTAAACTATCGCTATTAGCCTTTAGCAGTAAATTATGTGCATAAATGTGGATCATTCACACGTCTATTCACAGCTCATTTACATATCAATGCAGGTCCAGTAACAAATATACGGCCAATGTAGTCACTTTACAATAGACCAATAGAAAACCGTCTGTTTATGTGCGGGAGCTACAGCAGCTAACCGCTAACAAAACCTAAACTAGCTTCAAAGTCGATGTATTTCCAACACTCACCGCTCACACAGGCTCCTCCTCACATCACAAGTCTGCACTAATAAATGTCCTTTTAATCCAGACTCAAACCGATTGTCCGAAAAAGAAAATAATCTCAGTGTTGCGCACGGCTGCGGGTGTAAACAAACACACGCGAGTGAAGTGACGTCACTCAGGTGGTGTTTTCAGGTACAGTACGGACACAGACAAATGACTCCGCAGATAAATACTGATGCGGAGCCACATATTAGGACATTTATCTGTCTGTAAATTGGATTAAATGAGAGTCTAAGCTTTATAACGAGGTATAACATGCCCACGTGAAATATCGGCCCATATCAGCAAGCCGATAGCCGATATGTCTCCAGGTGCCCATATTGGCCGATAATATCGGCCAGCCGATATATCGGTCGGGCTCTAGTACTTTGTATTTTAAAACTGACCCTCTGTGATGAACGCTCTAGAAGATATTAAGTGTTAAAAATTTAAAAAATTAATTTGGTGCCATCTTTACCATGTTATACCAAAAAAATGACAGCACCCACCAACATAAAATGGACTGTTTTAGAAAGACTAAATGTCTGTTTTTAACATATCCAAAATATGTGATGGTGTTCAGCCTTATTTTTGCAAAATGAATTTTTGAAAATGTGGTGTCCGCATACATGCAGAGCTTTCATGGACTATGAAGGCACTTTCAGAAGCTAAGAAAACACTCTGAATATTTGACACACAGCTTAAACTCAACAAAATGCTTGATTTGATTACTCAACTATTGTAAATTATCTCAACTCTTGGAGGAAACCAACAAATGTTTTGGTTCTCCTGAACTGAGCATTTTGTGCTCCACATACTTAACATAATCTCCATGCAGTACTTTTTGGTATATTTTACTAAAGGGTTCTTAAAAATAGTGATATATTGCAGAATATCATGTGCTGTACATCAATTATGACATGTATTGCCATACTGTATCGGGAGCCATGTATTGACAATCATATTGAATCATGAGGGACCTTGTGATTCCCAGCTCTAGTTCTGATTGGCTTTGGCTGTACAGTTTATAATAAGATGAGCATATGGGTGAGATAAGATACTTACAACCTTGAGCAGCTATTAGATATTGAAAGTAGAAAAAAAATCTCTTCTTCACAGTCACTCTTACGCATCTTATTTTCGTCTCCTGGTTCCTCCCCTTGCTCTATTTCTGTTATTATCGAACACACTGATATATTAGTCTTTAACACAGACCTTTCATAATATTATCCTTCAAAGCTTAAATTGTCGTCTTTGTGTTTTGTCTGCAGTGGAAGAAGCATGGGCTCATCCATGGTCCTAATACCTGCTGGCTGGATGTCATTTGCTGCTCCATGGTGAGGGAAGCTTGTGGGCACTGTAAACTGATGAGAGATCCACATGCATGGGCAGGGAGACAAGGAGCCCGGTACGCTCTGCTCATCTGGAGCTCTGCATGGGGCCAGCCACTGGGGTCCAAATGCACAGCTAGAGATAGAGCACAGGAGAGAATCAGCACGGATCAGATAACAGGGGCAAGGAGAATAACAAACACATGGGTTTATAGTGTAATGTGTCAAGCATTTATTTATTATCACAACTCCTAGTCTATGAAGATGTTATTGTTTTGTCTGTAATGTTCCACAGTATGGCATTTAACTTCTAGCCTATATCTTTAGTATTTATTCCATTACAGGTATTTTGTAACTCAAAATGACTTGATGTATTCTCTCTTAGATCTGTCCTGTAATTTGGCCCAGTAGTGTCACTGGCTTGTTTCCTTGAAAATAAATATTTTTAATGCTATACTGTGGAGCATTGCAGGCAAAGCAATTAGGCTAAATCTCCATGGAGACAAGCATGTGGTGTAAAAAGTTGTTTATGTTTGCATTTTGTGTTTTGTGTTATGCTAATCATTCAATCAGAAAGCAAAATGAGCTCCTCATACTGTGTCCTAAATCCTGCAACTAATGGTGCCTTCATGTTCTATGATAATTAACGTAGATACCAAAACCCAACATCTAAATTGCACATAAACACCCACCCTCATCATAATTTCCACTGGAAAGCTGGGAGATTTTTATGATACACGAGCTGCCGAGATGAGATAAACTGACCTTTCAACATGGCGGAGAGCAGCGAAAGTGTTGTGAATGAAAAACATGTTGCTGTTAGTTGGTTAGATTGTAGCCTAGATAATGCCTAAAAATAATTTTAATAATAATTTTTGAATTATTTCTATTTTTTAAATATATATATATATTTAATTACATTCTCCCCTTGCTGTAGCAAATGATTCAGCAAGTCTAAAACTGTTTCACCCAAGTAAGAGGTCAGGATAAACTCTGGGTCCACCACGTTTCACGTCACTAAGACAACAAAAGCACTTGAACACAACACACTTGTAATTTCCACTTCACAAGTGGAGAGAGTCATCTTTCCCATAACACGTAAAGCATGAAGCAGCATGAAACCAGTTTGCAAAGGACAATTCTAAGATTAACGTATCTTCAATTATTCACATGACTGGTTCAGCTGTGATTGTGCTGTTTTTAAACCTGAAGTGTAGAGCTATATTATAAATATTACCTCTATTTTCGCATAGGATCTACCCATCAATGAAAAAAAAAAAAAAAAAAAAAGTAATACATATTTATATGTAATGTCGCACTTATTTATTTATTTTTTGGCAAAGTAAATTAATACATATGCCTACATGACATTCCTCATTCACTGCACATACTTAGTGCCAGATAGGCAAACTGTGAAAAGTGTCTTGCCCCGGGACATGACAGGACACCAGACCCTAAACATATAGTGGTATACAGTAGAGAATGTGTAGAAAATGTCTCTGCGTAGAACTGATTACTGTATTTGTATAGTAAGTAAGTAAGTCTTTATTTATATAGTGCTTTTCACAGACATTTTCTGTCCCCAAAGATGCTTTACAGAGCATTATTCAGCATTAATCATTCACTCTATATAGGCCAGATGCTTACTTGTTCATCAAAAATAAATAAATAAATAAATAAATCCAACTAATAGGCATACAAAGTGTCAATAGATGGCGCTTTAGAGACTACAACATTAGTGAACCTACTGTACACTGCACGGTTTGAGGAGAGAAGAAGACTTGGTAAACAAACCTGCAGACTGATCGTCTTACTGATTTGAAATAAGTTGTTATAACATGACGCGTGCATAGTGATAGAAAGACTGCATTTCCCATGAAGCATTGGGGCATGAGCACGGTTTAACGGACTTTCAGCTCTTAAATATCAGCGCGGTGCAGTGCATTTGAGATAAACGCGCGGGGGGGCATAGTCCACTCGTGCGTCTGTCCTGGAGGTAATCTAAACTTTTATTACGTTTATGAGCGACGACAGCGAACGTAACGGAGAGACGCGAGATCCACGTGTGCTCGAGTGTTGCGGAGGGCTAAACAACGTAGACTACTCCCAGGTAAACGATAGGGGAAAAAAGGGATAATTCACGGTTTTGTTTTGTCCTCTTTCCGTGAGATGACAGCGCTGGATACTTTCACCCTTTGAATGAACCGTGCTGAAGCTATGTGTTATGCTAGCGGTGACAGGAAGTTGAGTATCAAAATAAAAGCACGCTCACGGTACACGTCAGATTTTAGATTTATGATGAGAAAAATTTTAATGACGTTTTGATTTATGTTTATCACAATTATTTACTAGGGTGACATCCCCGTTTGTGGTGGTTGGTAATAATAAAATTGTGAAAAGAACAGGTAATTAAGAAAAAATGTTATGCACTCGGCCCATTCATGACTTATTCACGACTAACATGAGTCAGTATAGTCACATTTTCATGTTTTGGTCATTTTTAAGCAGCTTTTCTGTATGTCATCTAAACAAATGACAATTTATGCCTCTCTTTACTGTTGGCAAGGTATGGTCAAAAACAGGAACACCAGGGACATTTCTTGTATAAAAACGGGACAAATCACTGGTTTGGGTTAAGTCTGCTGGGACAGGGGACACAGGGCTCAAAAGTGGGACTGTTCCGGGTAAATAGGGATGTCTGGTCACTCTATTATTGACTCTACACAGTCTATTTTTTGACAATATTTCAATTATCAATCAATCAATTATTTTCTTGGACAGTTAGCCACTGTGAACTTTAGCCTTTTTTCATTTAATTACGCATTTAATTTCACATTTGATTTCACGTTGTAAGTCATATATATGCTCGCTACTTCCCAATACAGATAAAGGGTTACTCAAACATGTGTGAATTAAACAAAACACAACTCCAGGTATGATTGTGATGAAGAAACCGCATTATAACATTGATTAGAAAATAGTGTAATATGGTTCCTTTAACCCTAACTAATATCTTTAAAGACCGGTTTTAGTACATTTTTGTTAGACTGACATTAATCGTCTAATATACTCCAAAAATGATTGAGATTTTTTGTCATTTATTGCAGATCCCTATCTGTATTTCAATAAATGCATGGTAGACCATTTACAATTTCTATAACTAATTTCACTGTGGCAAGACAATGTAAGGCTGCCAATCAATCCCTACAACTACAACTAAGATAAAATAAAAATATGAGCATACATTCAAATAAGGTAACTAGAAATAGATATATTTGATATACAAAACATACAATATGGCAGAAGAATAGTGCAAGTAGGTTAATTACAGGCCTACATACGTAATCTTGGCTGCTTGTTACTATAAATGACATTGACCTTAGACTTTGGTTTGAACTGAGCTTATTAGCTTTATAAAAGCACATTGGTTCTCTTCATCTCAAGCGTCATTGGGCCTAAACTGTGAAACCACAGAAGTACGCTCTCTGAGGAAAACTTCACTTTCATAAGACCTAATTTTACAAGTACCTATTAGGATATTACACAAGTGATAGACAAGGGTTTTTTTCGTGCCACTTTGAAAGTAGAACAGAGAAATATGGGCAAGTTCTTAACATGCACGTGACAGGTTTTCATTATTTTCTACTTATTACTTGGTTTGGTGGGACAGTACCTGTGGGAAATATTTACTTAAGTGGTAGTTTATGGAAAAAAAAAGTTTAAAAGAAAAGTACAAAAATACAGGAAAGAGCAGGTCTAAAACTTAATGCCTCTACCTACTATATGTCATCAACACAAAGTTTGGGCCTTCGTATGTCACATCTGCTGCCCAAGTGATGCACTTAAAGCAGAGCTATTATGGAAAATCAACTTTTTTAGAGCTTTTAACCAAGTTATAGTTGTCATGCATATTTGAGTAATCTTTATACTCTGTCTTCAAGATATCATTGCTCCAGTCAACCCCCGTTTACACCAATTTTATTTTCTTAATTGTGATAATCCAGAGATTCAGCAGCATTGCATAGTCGTTTTGATACAAAACAAACAGCGACGTCAGCTCCCACTGGACATGGACTTGTTTCTTTTATTACATTGTTTTAGAGCTATATTGTGATTTAAAATGCCCAAATTATAAAATAATGTTCCACGGGTGTCATAGATTATAAATATAGCAAGCAAGCAACTTTAAAGGTGCATTGTGTAACTTTTCTGGTGTGTGGGCCTGCCACCTGCTTTAACATCTCATGGAGATGTTACTGCATTTTCTGGAATGTTTTACAGTATGACATTAAACCCTTCTCTCATCATGGAGATGAAACCAAACCAAGTTACAAGTTAGATCTGTGGAGAGCAGCATTTCTATTTTTTTAGGTATCTGGATATATTTAGGTTTTTGAGCAATAAAAAAAAACTGTAATTGAATAAATGTAAATTTGTTATGTTATGTCATACTGTGGAACATTCCAGGAAGAGCAATAACGTCTCCACGGAGAAAAAAAAAATATGACAGACCCGCCACCAGAAAAGTTACCCAATACACCTTCAAAAATCTAGGAAAAACTATACAAGGTGAGTCACATCTTAAATACAGCTGCGTTAAGTATGTTTTAATAGAGAAATGACTTGTCTAACCTGTCATATACACTTTAATCTGCAGCCTGGGGGATGTGGAGTAGTTTGGGGCACTCATTGTTCTGTATGAATTTGCTGTGTTTTTTTTCAGATGGACCTGATGCCACTACAGACACTTTTCAAACTAATTGACTTCACTGAGCCAAGCTTTTGTGTGGCCGTCGCTGCTATCATCTTCAATCCTCTGTTCTGGAATGTGGTAAGTGCATAGTGAATCACATTATCTAAGAATTCAAAGTGTATTATTCTCAAAATAGTGAAAAATATGGTTATATAAGCACGTCGTGATGGCAGAAGTGCTGTAAAATTGTGTTGTGTAAAATGTTGTTGCTATTATGGGTCATAGGTTGCCTAATCTTTAAAGGGCCCATATTACACTATTTTCTGATCTATGTTATAATGTTGTTTCCTGGTGTTGTGTTTTGTTTGACTCACACATTTAACACACAAATCCTTCATATTTAGGCTGAGTTCTCTGAGTTCTCTAGGCTCAACTGATAACACTATATGAAATCACAAGGTGGAGCACAGCATTGTGAGCTTTGGAGACAAACTAATAATAAAGGATTACTCAAACAAAACACAACTGGGTATGTTTATGATGAGGATCTCAATGTTGTGAGAATTTTCAAGATTAGATGTCTTCAGCCACATGTTCCAAATTAGCGGCTGTGGTTGGATCGTCCTTTTTATCGCGAAAGGCCTAAACGTGCACCTCCATGTGCCTTTCTCAGGATCTATCATTTTCATATCACACAACCCACACATGATATGTTTTAAGTGCCTTGGCCCTTCTCTGCTGTGCACCATCTGGTAGATCAGCCCCTGAGTATGTACTAAAAGAGCCACTGATTGCGGTTTTACTTTTTGGTAGCGACTGAAATAGCGGTTATATTTAGCCTGTGACTTGGAAGCACAATGGTCAATCAGTATCATGCAGCGGAAGAGGGCACCTGTGCTGTGTTTCCCACCTTTATGAGTGATTTGTCCCATCTAATCAGGGCACACCTCATCAATCTCCTTTCATACAAGTCCAGTACATGTCCATAAAAAGAACTGTGTGAACTATGTCCAACTTTTTTTTTTTTTTTTTTTTTTACAATATATTGTTAATAATTGTTCCTCTGTAGTCCTGTATGTATGTCTGTAGGCCAATGTTGTGGTGGCTTAGATTTTAATAAATTCTTCTCACTAAGCCTAAAATAACAAAACTGAACTTTGAAAATTAGGGACTTTTGAAGAAAACACTGTTAAAGGACACCTGTTATGCAAAATTGACTTTTCATAGCTTTTAATCATATTCCTCCTTCTCATTTAGCCTCTGGAAGTTGCATTTGGAGTGATTTGTACATGTTGCATTTGAGTAATCATGAATCACTTATTTTCAGGGATCTATTAAAATAACTGGATAGGGTGTTACTGTTTGTAGCTGCCTCCAGTTGACATAGTGGCCACTCACTGGTACTTCAGCGAAAATCCCCTGGGCCGTGAAAGGGTTATTTCTCATAGAGCGCAATGTAATCACAAACATCTCATGTTCGGCTGACAGGACACCTACAGTTTATAAAAATGTCAGATTTTGTGGTGATTTTTAACCTATTTTTAGATCATAAACTTTTTCTCAGCTCAAAATCCTGCAGTTGTCATTCTGATTGGTCAAAGCGGTCACGTGATACACAAGCCTGTGCTCTGGGTGTGCGCTCGCATGCATTCACATGTGCCCTTGGGAGAAAAGAGCACTATTGCGCATGCTCAATCGGCCAGCAGCAACTGGAAGTACCTAACTGGGCTAGGCTAATTTGGAGTCATGTGCCATTGAGCTCAGCCCATTGACTTGAAAGGGCAGCCATTTTTACACATTTTCAAGACACCATATTGCCAATCATGCACTGTGTTCACTGCCACCGGCATACACCCAGTGCTTTGTACTAACTTCGTTCTACTTTTTTTTTCTCAATCAGTGATACACTTAGAATTTGGCAGCATAATGTAATCATCAAAAAAAAGGGGGAAAAAAATCACTCCTCACTAGTGTGATGTGCAGATAGCTACAGGATTTGCCGGTGTTATGGATCTGTTGGTGGTGATATGTCAGCATGTGGAAATGTGGGCGTGGCTTGCAAGGACCCAGCTTTAATAAACCTAATATTTAGTTTTAAACGCGGTATCCGTGTTTCTTTTGAGTGCTTATCATTTTATTAAATCATATCAATAGTATTTATGAAGCAAAGTAGGCATGAATGTATCGATAAGTGCGCTGTCCTGAACTGATATGGCTCATTTGCACGGATTCCAATGGAGACATGAAATACTCGCCGCGTGTGTTGCAGAAAGACAATCCTGGCTCTCACTGCGTTCTTTAGTTCAGATGAATATGTAAATTCACATCTCCACTTCTTACAAGGCTGAAAGAAAGCCACATAAGACATTATATTTAGACAGCGCCCCAGATGCCCTGGGAGAGGTGTTTGCGCAGATGCCTGTGCATCTGTTTGCAGAGAGCAGCTTTCTGTGTTGAGGAGCCATGTACACAACATTACCCAACAAATCCTTAACCAACTCCGTTCAAGATGATGTTTACGTCAACGTCAGTTCCGTTTGGGCACCGCATCTTTCTAAAACGGTAGTCGGCAGACTATTTCTTTAAGTGGTTTTAGATTACTACTGTGATTGAAAATGTGATCATATTAACATAATATAACATAGTGCTCCATGGGTGTTGTACATTTTAACTATTTAACAAGTTCAAGCACAATAAGCAATCATTAAGAGGTAATTCCACAAAGATGAGATTTTGCTAAAAAAAAAAAAATATTATAAATAAAATTTTAAAAAGCTAAACTTGGCCAATAGTGTTGTCAAAATAATGTTAATCAATTCTAAAACTAGTATTTTATTTTATTTATTTATTACAAAATGACAAACATATACAGCAAAAACTATTAAGCATAATTTAGCAAATACATTTTGTAAATGGGACACCCCTGGAGCCGGCCTTCGCTCATAAATGGGGCCCATACCAATTTAAATAAAGGCAATACACAGTACAAACATTCCACTACTGTAGTAGTAAGTAAGTAATGTAAGATTTGGTTTACAAAAATCATATTATATTAATAAATATTCTTGAATAGTTTTAGTACTATAGAAGTAGTTTGAGACCACATGATAAAATAAGAAACTACTGTTTTCTAGAGTCTGAAAATGTTGTATTGTATTTCAACCTGTAGAGACTGGAAAGAAAAATATTTGCGAGCTTTATTGAACGAGATCTCTTTTGGTGCGCAGATGGCAGCAGAAGACATAGCGATGGAGGGCCATTTAAATGACGTTTGGGAGAGGTCTCCAGGACACTTGGACACTAGAGGTGGTAGAGGTGAGGCTGAGAAGAGTGAAGGGGACGATAAGATGAGGAGAGTGAAGGGGACGGTAAGAGGATGATGAGAGAGAAGGGGACGATGATGAGAAGCTGAGGTGGTGCCGGGGAGGAAATGGGTCGTGGCACAAACCAAAACGGCCATGCACCTGCAATTGGGGTTTAAACTGGGCATACTGGGAGCTGATTGGACAAGGAGGAGGTGTGGCGAGTGGTGGGGAGGAGTATTTGGAATTAGTAATAAAGGCTGAGGAACAAGTAAATTGGAGAAACGGTGAGATAGACAGGAGAGAAGTTAGGTCTTACAGGCTGCATAAGCTAGCTCCGTTTGTGGTGTTGAAATCAGTATCAAGTGTGCTACAATTTAGGTCTTTGTAAGGAATTTTTAAATGTCTTTTTTATTTTTTCATTATTATTATTATTATTATTATTATTTTTATTTTATTTTTTTTTAAAGACAAAACACATGCTCTGTGCAGCCCTGACTTCAGATCCCGGTTGAACATGATTGTCTCATGTGTAATTGGCAAATTGCTATAATTGACTGCACTCTCACTAGAGCTGGTTTGACTTTCACTTTAATGTTCAACTAACTAGATGTTATTGGTGAGTCATTTTTTCAGCAGTATTATTGGCTAACCTTGAGCAGTGACTCATCTGACATTGTTGCTCTTCAGCCCGTCAGAACAGATCCTTCTAATCACACAGAAAATTACCTGTGCTCCACTTCCCCTCAGGAGCCCGGCACAAGGGAGGCCAGCCTTAAGAGTTTGAGTTTGCTATTTGTGTGTTATGTCATGAGGAGTTTAGAGGTCTAGTTTTCTTATTTGACAACTTTAATTCAACATTTGCAGTTATTCTGCGCCACCTTCAGCCACAACAACAACCATCCGAATTGATCAATGAAGTTAGGAAGAAGTAAGGAAAGGAGACATTATGCTTCCTTTCATAGTTCCTTTAGCGTCGGAACCTCGTGAAGGTCCCTGAACAGCGGTTAGGTATTCTACATAAATAAACTCAACTTTATAAACTCAACATATAAAGCTGAACTACTATAGTATACTGTAACAGATCTACATCAGCCTGCTATATCAGCTACATCAGCTTTGCACATATTTGTTTCAGTTTTACAGAAAGAAAACTTAAAACCACATGGCTCATTTGCATATATTCTAAGCGATGAAAAAACAGCTCGCTTCTTGGGTGATGTGGTCAGCGTCTTCGGACTAAAGGACACGACTCAGTGGAATGTGTTCTTTCTGTGACAGAGGGATGTGCTGCTGATGGTGAGTCTATTCTGTGCTTGTATCACAGTGGAGGTAGTTCGTGTTAAACCTTTCAAAGATCACACATGTGCAGGTTTAGCACAATGAACAGCAATCATTTCACTCATGTACTTTATTTATGTCATCTACCGTTGTGATAAAAAACATTGGCTGTAAAGAATGAAAGGTTTAAATATTTCTCATAAGACTTGACTCGGCGCAGTAGTGGAGGACCGTGTGCTTGTTGTAGTTTTGACTGAACAGCTGTTGTTCCCGCCGCTGGTTAGGAGGATCCAGATGCACCTAAAGCAGTGGTAGCTCCTTCTCGTCAGCGCTCTTTTCTCCTCCTTTGTCCTTATAGTTGATCTCATGGCGTAGCTCTCGTAGGTCAGAGAAAAGGAAGAGGAAAGACAAGGAGAAGGAAGGAGGTATTTTTATCCAATTTTGAATGGGGCCACCAACTTATCCTTTGTGCTGTTGTCCATATAAATTGTAATAATCTAAATAAAATAATACAAAAATGAATATAAAATGAAATAAAATCAATTAATGTAAATT